CCACTTGGTCCTTATGCTGGTGGCAAGTGGTCCCCTGATACCAAAGTGCTGAAGGAAGCAGCACAAAGTCACTTAGATGGAGAGCAGGGACCCTTTATGGAGTAGCTGCTGAGCCTTTGCCATACAGAGAAATCTGAGAGGGCTTTGGTGTTTTGAAGTGGACCAGTGCAGAAAACAGCTGAGAGCTGAAGCTGATGCAGAGCAGGAAACTGCTTAATAGAGGGAGCACTGCAGTGGTATCAGCAGTGTGGTGTCAGCGCTGCAAGTGCCGTATACTAGGGCTTATTTAAAGTGGCTACTGTAAAAGTCTTCAAGCCAGTTAATTACCAGTTTTTGTTATGTCAGGAACTCCTTGAGTTAAAGCAGAAAGAAAGAAACTGTTCATGAATATGTTTCAGTTCCGTTCCAGTTTTAAGGGACAACTTAAAAAAAAAAAAAAAGCGGGGAGAAAGAAACTGATAAAATGATTTAGTTCATGGAAGGACTGAAAAAGCTGAAATTACATATTATGCCCCATCTACTCTTGCATAAGCCATTGAAATGGCTGGAGACTTAATTGGACTAATCTTCCATTGCAGTTATGCGTGAGCCTTAGGGAGCCATGGGGTGCATATGGGCCAAAGCACCAGCCTATGAAAGCAGGACAAATTATCCAGCAGCATTTTTAAAAATAGTAGGTGTCCAGGTAAGAACAGCCAAGAGGCTTGACTTGCATTTGAAAAGCATTAAGGGCAACTGAGAAATTTAATTTGATTTATTCATCCAGTGGACTTTAAGAGGTATGAAAAAAGGTTAGAGGTGACTTCAGGCAAGAGAAAACTTTCAGTGGAAAACAAAAATCTATAGAGGACTTTAATGTAGACTCATTGCTTACACTGGTTTTGTTTCTCTGCAGCTCCTTGTTTGCTGTGAGGTTACTGATAGACCACGCTACTGCAAGTGGATTCAGGCCTCAAAATTCTGTCTGGTCAGAACAAAAATCATATTGCATGCTGCATATTGATTTGAACTGCAGATACTGGAGGAAATGGGAGTCTCATGCTATCAGTATTCTTCAGATATTTACTTTGCTGCCTTCCACTGTTTAGAACACCCTGAAATCACCAGCACATTTACTGAGTTGAGGTTTGAAAGCAGCTTAGGAACAGTAACAAATCACAGTTTTTAGCACTGCTGAAGGTTGGAAGAATTCTATTACCAAGGGTGTGCTTTCTGCATGCATTTGAAGCCTCTGAAATGACCCGTCATGTATAAAAGTGTCCTAGTTTTTTTCACAAAGACTTTGTTAAGAATTAAACCTAACTCTTGGGAGAAAAAATGAGTTCAGCATACCAGAATACCCGTCTTCCTAATTCTTACCATGCTGCAAACTGAAATCCCAGGCCTGCCTGTATATTACGAAACTTTCTCCATCTTGAAGAAAGCTTTTATTATGTAGTGCCTATAAGCACAATAATACCTCTGCATATTGAGACAATGCAGAGGATACCAAAACCCACCTGTTAGATTTTTTCCTCTGTATAGCTGACATCTTCTTGGTTCTGATAAACATCTGGGTGCTTGGCTGTCTTCATAAGAAAGGTTCTTCAGCCCCCTGATCAATGTCCCCCTTCTGGACCCACTCCAGCAGATCCATATCCCTCTTGTGCTGGGGGCCCTGGGCCTGGACACAGTATATCAGATGGGGCCTTACAAGGCAGAGTACAGGGGGACAATCACCTCCCACTCCCTGCTGACCACCCCTCAAGTCTGTTGGCCTTCTAGGCCTCGGGAGCATACTGCTGGCTCATGCTGAGGTTTTTGTCCATCAGAACCCCCAAGTCCTTTTCCACAGGGCTGCTCTCAAATGAGTTCTTCTCCCAGTGTGTACACATATCTGGGATTGCCCTGACCCAGGTTTAGCACTTTGCACTGAGCCATATTGAACCTCATTAGATTCACAAACATGGCATAGATGATAACTGTGTGGAGAGGTTGCTGACATTTTACTTTTGCCGTTTCTGCCCCCTCTTTCCAGGGCTAGTTCCCTTCCCGATGGCCTGAGGGCTCTGCTCAGTCTGCCAGAGCCCATCTGCCACGTGCTGAGTTCCCAGAGTTCAATTTGTGAGGTTTTTGCTGTGTTGTTCTTTAAAGTGCTAGCTTGGCCTTTCTAATACATTTTCAATGGTTGGGATTAGCAAAGCTTGTAAGAACATAACAGACCTGTCAGGTCTACAAGTCCACTCGCCACCTCCACCCACTTACATATATTTTTAAATAGCTAATTAGGAGATAATGCCAGTGGAACCAAATACTGTTACAAGATAATGATCTCACACTGCTACAAAAATGTTAAGTGGGAATGTTTATTTTCAAAGGGAAGAAACGCTGATCGTGTGCCTAATCCTATAATTCTTAAGCAAGTAAAATTCCTGTAGATTTCAGCAAAGCCTGAGGTGACAACATCCTATTACTGTGATAGTTTTCTGGATACCAAACGGCTGTAAGTGATGCCGTCATTTTCTCTAAATGACACTGGTGCAGTATTGGAACAGATGTTTCCCTTACCTTTATTAGCCTGTTGTATCTTCTAACTTGGAGGACAAATTCTGCATGTGCTTCATTGCACCAACTTAGATGATTTTTAGATGTGCTTTAGGAAGCACTGAGCTGTGGTTTGGATGAAGTTATGCTTATTTTTAACTTCCTGACAGCTCATAATGGCGATGCGCAAGCCTGTGTTGCCTCTGCAGGTTCCCTTTGGTACACTGAGGATTACCTACATTTAAATCAGAGGGCTTTTCCTCTATCCTGCAGGCAGTTCAGAAACAAGGGCTGTCTTAAACTCGCCTGTCAGGAATAAATCACCCATCATTCTGGAGGGATGAAGGAGTACACGTGGACAACGGGCACAAGTCCATCAGCTGCTCTGGCAGAACTGTCCCATGCCGTTCCTTCCAAGTAAGAGATGAGGTACAATTTGGGGCAGCCTGACCCCTCTGTCAGGCTCATCCTGATGTCTGTGTTCCTATCATAGTGTTGGTGGAGGCTGCTCTGTGTAAATCCAGCTTGGGTCTTCTCTGGTTCTGCAGTGAGGCAGTGCTTATGGCATGGGTTCATCTGCCTTCACTGCTTTTTTCCTCTGGCCTCCCTTTAGATTCAGTGTTGTCCTACAGATAGGTGAACACTGCACTGGGAACTTGAGGCAGGTGCAGAGCTGCTTTCAGAGAAAAACCTGTCAAAGAAAGTATGAGAATTTATCCTGGATCAAATCTACTTTCACGACTTGTTAGTTGCACTATGGAGAAGGTGGCCAGTGGTTTTTAGAAATTACTGCTGCTTTCACAATTAATGAAGATTCATCATTCCATTAGATCATCTCTAACCTGCTGTAATTGTTCTGATTTTTATTTTTTACCTCGTTCTTCAGTTCATGTCTAAATACAAGAAGATGTTTATATTGCATACATTCAGCTTTAATTGGCCCTTAAAAGAAGGTGTTGATTAGAATCTTCTCAACATCAACAGCTCGCTCGCACAACATTCTCTAATTACTGTTTATTAATTTAGTTCAAGTGGCATAGTTGAAAGCCCTGCTCAGATGGGAGAAGTAAATTGTCACTGGTATTGAATATGTAAATTATGTGCAGGGTAAGTTTCCGTGAAGAATGTTTAAAGTTAAATGCTACGCACATAGAGCCTTCTAGTTTCATCTAACCCAATATGACAGCTTTGTAAGAATTGTCATGAAAATTTACCAGCCCTGGCAAAAAACTGCTTGCCTATATTTTCCTTTTTACTATTAACATAATCGTGATGATAATAGCAATTTATTTGCTAGTCAAAAAATAAATAAAAATCATTCACACCAACTGGATGGAGGTTTGCAAGGCTGCCAGTTGAATGTGAACTGTGCGTTGCAGTAGTATAGACATTCAGCAGCCTGGATTTGTTGCCCTAGTGCAGTGACCCTTCCTTCTCTTTAATTAGCTTATAAAGTCAGAATTTCTTAAACAAAGTGCTCATTAAACATTGCCTTGTTATATTACTTTAAAATGCAATTAAAAGTTTTAAGATTGCCGCAGAGTTTGCATACCGTTGTCAGTGCCCATGTCACTCGCTATCAATTTCCACCCACTCACATAGATTGGAGGCTTCCTGTTAAATATAGATGGCACTCCATAGCCTTTGTGTATAGAGAAGGCATAAAGCAATGTACTGATGAGGATGATGTGACTGCATCATATACCTGAAGGAAGAAGGGAATGGAGGGGAGGATATTCTCAAGGTAGGAGAATCTGGGAGTTTTCACTGTCCTTCACTCTGCACTTGTCTCTGTGTGTTCCTGAGAAGTGTGCTGCTTCAGATCTTTCCAAAGAAAGTTGCATGGAAATACTTTGCAGTTATTGTATTATGCATCCGAAGCAATGAGACGAGACAGTGCTCTAAAAGGGAAAGAAAAATATCCAGTGCCTGAATTGTGCAGGGGCCTTCACCCAGTCCTCACACTCTTGCTGGCTGCTGTTATCATGAGCAGCACTAATCAATTCCAGGAAATCTCCACACCAAGCATTATGTCACATGTGGTTACATCATTCTCTATAACCTCTAGGGCTTCCTGCTGACATCTTTGGAGCTCTTATACTACCAACTGGTATAAAAAGAAGTGCCAAACAGTACTTTTAGCCATTTGAGTCTGCCAAAAGGAATCCAAATGTCTCCATCTTGCACCTTTCACCTGCTGATCTCATCTTTGCTCTCAAAACCAAAGCAATGCTCTGTGGGTTTCCCCAGGTGTTTATATAAAGGATATCAGGAGCATGTGAGAGGGTTTTTGAAACAGAAGGTGCTAATGCCACTGCAAAATTTATTTATTTTTAATGCCTACCAGATTGCTAATCCAGCCTGTCAGTTGTGTAACTTCTGTTGTAACTTCCACTACAGGAGGTTATCCTTTTTTTTTTCCCTGTATTATTTCCTAGGAAGTGCTACTTACCAATGTGAGTTATGTTTTGCTTCAGGGTTGACTTCCAAGTGCAGTTCTGTGGGGCGTTTCCCCCTTCCTCTCTGCAGGGCCACCTCACAGGTGTGCAGGGGACAGCAATATGCTACTGCTTCTCCTGCCAAAGTCACTTTCCCAGCAGTTCAGTTGAAAGAGGCAAGGCTCAAGCCCTATGCTGCAAGATTATTCCTTCTTGAAACCACTGCAATGTCTCTTGGTTTGAGTCTTGTTTATTATTATTATTTTCTGGTTTATGTCTTCCTTTCATTTGAACAGTTTGATTTTTGTGGCTGTTTCTGTTTGTTCAGTGCTGCAGTAGATAACAACAACATGATTAAATTCCAGCTCTGACTGTTGCAACATAAGCGCTCTGCCTTCATTATCCTTGGTGCCTAAAACTATTTGATCTCTAATATGTTCGCCTGCAAGTGTGCCTCATTTGCATGATGAGGCTAACTGGTGAAGCCTGGTTGCATATTGGTCTCTGATTTTAGTTTCTCTTCAATCAGATGCGTCAAACAGAAGGAACTATTAGAATTGCCAGCAACTGTATTTTTTTTCTACGAATCATGCTAGAATACTAGGATTCTCAGGCATTCTTACGAGGCTGGACAAATCCACCAATAAAAGGCATGAGAGGGATTCTCACGGAAAGCCATTTACAAAGCAGGGCTGTGCTGGGGATTGCTGATCTGCTGTGGTGGCATAAGCTGTTAAGACCAAATCCAATAGCTGGGCACCCTCCTTTGTTAAGCAACACTTCCCATAGCCACTGGCCTGAATGAGGGACGGAACTGTGTCACCTAGCAGAGACCTCTCCCTGTGCCCAGCACAGCCAGGTCTGCTTTCAGCCTCTATGAGGGTCAGACTCTGCCCCAGCTTGTGGCCACCCTGCCTGGGTGCTTAGACCCAACTGACACTTATTTGGCTGTGTGGCCTTCTTGGGTTTCACTGCCCAAAGTTTGCAGGGAGAGAAAACATTTTTTCTTACCTCAAGCATTTGGGAACACAAACCTTTCTTTGTGTCTAAAATTGAAGCAGAAAAGAGCTAAATGCAAATAGAGAATAGAGACGCAACGGTCCTGAGATTCATGGCAATAGCACTGAAAATGTTTCAAGTTGCCTGTTTCCTTTCTGGATCATGCTTAGGGTAAACTGGTGGGTTCTACATAGTTTTCAGTATTATCTTAAGAAATGTGATTTGACCCCTTGCAACATCCCTTGTTTCTCCCATTACAGAATTCTGCTTCTTAAGTGTTATAATGTATACCAAAATCTGTATTTTCATTTAAGACCATTTTTAATTGAACTAATTATCTTTGTGAACAAAGAAATGTTTCTTATTGACTCAAATGAGTTCTAGATTGAGTCTTCATTTCACACATAAGAATGACTGCTTTCTTTTTTTCTTGGGATAGGACAGATAGCAAGAAACCAAACGGTGCAGAGGCAAACAAAGGAACCCTGAGGATCCCATCAGCAGTGATTGCTTTGCACACGAACGGTATTTCTTCCCCAGCATATACTTCCAAGAATTTTTTAAAATGTCATTCATATATCATCTGCACTAGCAGACAATAGTTGTTCCAGAGAAGCTGTTGCTCTCTATTAGGTCAATGATCAGTGAACTAAACATTTTCTACTTAGGCCTTCATATGATAAAAGCCTAAGAGCTTTGAAGGAGCCATTACAGACTATTGTCTAGAAGAAATATCCATTTGAAAATTCTGCAATTATGTACTTCTACATAGCGTGTAAAAGGAGCTCTGGACCCATTATGGGTTATTGAGTAAATAATGTATTTTTAAAAGTGTCTGAGTAATTTATACATAGCCTGTATTGGCAGCAAAGAGTGATTGTAGAATAAACATTGTGTCTTCCTTTTAAAAAAAATCTCATTTAAATCCCTAAATAGCAATTAAAAAAAGAAATCCCTGATGCAGTTTCAGTTTTTCAATAGTAGTCACTAGCTAATGTCTCTGACTTTACTCCACCATATTGCACTGAGCCAGTTTTCTCTGGTGTGTGGTTTTTGTTTTTTTTGTGTGTGTGTGGTTTTTTTTGTGTTTATTGGCTTCATTATCAAATATGATACAGAGGTGTCCAGAGGCCTCTGAAAGTTCAGATCCACAGTCATCAGACATGCCCATAATCAGGAACAGCCACTCATCAGAAGAGCCAAGAGTCCAGAGAGAAAAGCCATGAAGTCGGTCCTTGTTTCAGAGAAGAATTGAGAGGAAATGTGTTGTGTGAGATCACAAACCTCTATTCTCTTGAGCAAGTTTGGTTTCTTGGCTTTATGTTTAGACCTTCTGTAGAAAGGCACCACGTGAGATCGCCATTTCTGTGTATCCTCAGTGCTAATGCTTGCAACAGTCTTGCTCCTTTCTAAGATGTCCACAATAGCTTTGCTCCAGACTACTGCGCTTTCAAGCACAGTCACTGGTCAAAGCAGATGTGAAAATACTGCAGTTCAAAATAGCTATATTGCAACAACAGTGCTAAAAAGCAAACTTCTGTTCCTATGTGCGGTGTAGTCCTTCATTTCATTTATCACATTACTATCTACTGCAGTGGAGAAAAGAAGGCTGTGGGGTGACCTCATTGCAGCCTTTCAGTACCTAAAGGGAGCCTGCAAAGAGGAGGGGAATCAACTCTTTGAAAGGGTTGAAAACTACAGGACAAGGGGAAATGGTTTTAAGTTGAAGGGGGGGAGATTTAGGTTGGATGTCAGGGGGAAATTCTTCACTGAGAGAGTGGTGAGGTGCTGGAACAGGCTGCCCAGAGAGGTTGTGGATGCCCTGTCCCTGGAGGTGTTCAAGGCCAGGTTGGATGGGGCCCTGGACAGCCTGGTCTAGCATTAAATGGGGAGGTTGGTGGTCCTGCATGTGGCAGGGGGGTTGGAGATTTGTGATCCCTGAGGTCCCTTCCAACCCTGGCCATTCTGTGATTCTGTGATTCTGTGAGTTTATCTTCACATCTCCAAATACCTGTCAGGCCAAGCAATTTGGAGGTGCCACATGGAGACTACAGTATTTATATATGCTTAAAAATCATACAGGGATCCTTACCTGAGGGTACAAAGTAAAACAGTTCTCTGCTTATGGTGATGCTCCAGCCTTAACTCTTTTATGCAAATTTCCCTGGCATAAGTTAGAGATGAAGTCACTTAATTTGTTGTTCTTGAATCTGTAGGTCCAGACCTGTAAGTGGTCTTGCTCAGAAAATACCCTAAAAATCAGCAGGAAGCAGACATCTGTTAATAGGACTGCCAGGGCTTCTGAATTCCCTTTTTGGAGGCTATGTAATACCTGTCCCTGCTGTATGAATCCATGTGCATGTTCAGAACAGATCGTGTGCTTCCCATAGCTATGCTGGTCAGTCACACCTCAAGAACATAGTCTTTAGTATACAAACATATACATATGTTTGACTATGTATATGACTATATACAACATAGTCATTGTATACAAAGTGTTTTCAATGCAGTGATCAGAAATGTGGCTTTTTGGCTGCCCTCTGAGGAGATTACAAGAGATAAGTATCTGTAGCAAGGCCACCAACAGATGAGATTCTCTTTTTTAATATATTTGGAAAGAAAAAAAGGGGGAAGAAAGAATAAATGCAAGGATGCCAAATTACACACAGCTCAAAATACCTAAATGAAAGGGAGTGCCTTAATGAAGAGACAGTAAGGTAGCAGTAAAAGAAAAGATGAAGTGAAAAATTGGTGAAGGGGAGATAATAAAGCCTGAAATTAATTGAGAAGAAACAAGGTGAAAGGCATAAATACATTTAAGTTGTATATGAGTAAGATATCTCAGAAAGAAATCAGTTTCTCACTATTCAGCTGTATTTGTCACTTAGAAAGTGTTGGGATAATTGAATGAAGAGGTGATGAAGTCTTCATCAACTGAGGATTTCAGTGACAAAGTGGTCAAAAACATGGGTAGTACTGTCAGTTATTGAACCGTCAACGATTTCTGCCAGGTCCATTTTCTACCTCACCATCCGAAAGAATGTATTAAACTGGGAATGAGAGTGGTACCTCAGTTGTGTGATTATGGAAGACTTCTTTCTGGCTCTGTTACCTCCTGGCTGAAGTTCTGAAGGTCTCACAGAGTAAATAGAGCATATACTTTGAGATGAGGAAGATGAATACACAGGGTAAAACCAAGAAAAGGAACTGGTTGATCAAAAACATTTTCTCCTCAGATATGGACCGAAGGCCACACCCCTTACACCTTCCTACTCGTAATGAAGATCCCTGCTCTGCAACAAATACATAGTTTGGCTTTGATACAAAATCAGAGTCCTCATAACATGAGACAAAAGATCCTGGGGCCCTTCTTGCAAGAAGAGAGTTATGAATTTTTCTGATGTGCTTTTATCAAACCTAAATAATTCTACTTTTTTTTTTTTTTTTCTTTTTTTTCCCCAAAGAAAATTCCTCATAGTTTTAGCCAAAATCATTCTTTACTTCCTCTGCTGGCTTCTTTTGAATGGTGGGTAAAGAGAGGTCGCAGGTATGGAGCGGTCTGGGATTCTTCCAGGCTGCTGATTACTGATACGCAAACCAACAGTCACCACTGCAGACTAAAACAAAATGTGGAACAGGCTTTTAAAAGATAAGTCTGGGCAGGTATCATTTTAGGATGTAAGAAAGACTAATTATCCCATTTTGTTCATCTTCTTCAGGGCTTGCTGGGAGGACTGACCAAACCTCAGTGATAACATCAGTGCTCCTCAGCTGAAAGTGGGAAGCTTGTATTGCTCTACTGTTGTCATAAGAAGGCACAGACTTTGGAAGCAGCAGCTCGTTCCTCTTACAAATTTGCAGTGTATTCTCCTTTTTTCCATTCTGTACCATTGAGTGTGATGATGATGATGGTAACTGAAGGAAACTTTTGTTTGCTTTGTTTGTTTTTCTGTTTTGTTTTGTTTTTCCCTGACTTTATTTTTGAGCTACTAATTTCATTATTTGAGGGTGTGTATAAGATTCTGGAAGCACATTTTACATCTGCTGTGCTGTGAGATCTTTGGTATGGTATTGACTCATTCATTGGCACCTGAGAGAGGTTTGGGGAATTCAGCAAGCTTTCAACAATCCAGTTTGAGAGACTACACAGAATTATGTCTCGCTCAGGTTCGTCCTAATTTTATTAGATTTCCACCATTTCTAATTGCATAAACATATGCAGCCAAGTGTACAGATGGGGACTGGGAAGACGTACAAGGACACTCAGAGTCTGTAGTCAGCTAATTGGTGGACTAAGTAATAGGGCACTTGGAAAGATTGATAATTTTTTTTCAGAGCATTTCAGGAGAAAATTCTGTCCCCGTTAAAACTGTGGCAATCAAGAGAAGAAAGATTTTAGCAGTAGATTTTTTTGGAAATGGAGGAAGAGATGAGCGTAAAAATTTGATGCAGAAAAAAATCCAAGAGGAAGTATGTTGTTATGGGCAAGATCTGCTGTTTTAGCCATAGAAAGAAGGATAGAGTGTTTCAAAAACATAGAACAACTGGCTTGATCCGTATGGTGACATCAGAAATCTTTTGATCAGGGCTAAATACAACAGTTTCAAATATTGCCTGGGTAAATGAGAAGTCATTTAGTATGAACACTGTTACTGGTAGGAAATGCCAAATTGTATAATGTTTTCAGAAATATTTTATATTTTCTTTTGGAAAATAAATGTTTTTGCTAGGACTAGAAAAGGTATTGGACCACAAATCCCATTTCTGGTCAAATGATACCATCTGAGGTACTGTCTGTTTATATGAGTGCCTTCACATAAAGTAACACTGCTGTCCATTCTTGTTCAGGAGATGCTGCTGTTGGCTTATTCCCTACCATCACAGCAGGAGGGGACAGGAGGGAAAAATCTTTGCTCAGTTTTTTGTTATGATCCATCTTCATCCATGATATGGCATCTGCACTGTGGAATTCCCCTGAATGAAAGGGAATGACAACGTCTTCACCTCCTGAAGACAGGATACAGCTCTCAGACTGAATTAGCTGCAGCTGGATAGCTTTTTGAAATCTCCACAGTTATCAGACCTGGAAGATTTTTCTATCGTGATGGCCTGGGCTAGGCATTTGGTGGGTGAGTAAACCATAATTTGTTTTGGTTTTCCTTATGAAGTAAGTGTAGAATATGCAAAACTAGCTGATCACATATTTGGACCTGGGCTTCTCACAAAAGTTCTGCAAAACCCTCTCAAATGTCTGAATATTTACTAAGTAGATCATGAAATATTTTCCAGCATCAAAAATACAAATACAAAGATATAATAGAGTAATCATTTTGGGATGTGGTTATGTGCTAATGACTTTATTTTCTTCTTCCTCGTGTTCAGGCAGTAACATGCAAACTGACCACATCACTGTAGTGAAATTGCTGATTAACCTTTTGACTCTGACAATTGGGACTTCTCTTAACACCACTTGGTAATGCAAAAGACCATTAGTAGTTAATACTGGGACACCCCACCTCCAGATTTCAAAAGGTTAATGAAAAATCAAGTATCCTGCTTCTACTGGGAAACTTGGAAACCTTCCCACCAAACATTTCATTTTTTGTGATAAATAAGCCAGACCGCTTCAGCTGAGAAAGACGGGTGTTTTGCTAGGGTGTACAGCTGTTAATTGAAAAAGATTCTGTTATGCCTGTTCTTCTGGACATAGATAAAAGAGAGATTTGTTGGTGAACTTTAGTTGGTCCTGAACACCCCTTTGTCCAAATACACTGCTCAATAATAACGCTTTGTTCTGTCTGTAACAGCCATGGAAGGATTTTGAGTAGAATACTCGTTTTCTTTAAGTCGTATCTGCCAGTGATCATTCTTGGCTTAAGATCAGCTGCCATTTATGTGTTTTATGAAAATATAACACCAGTTTTATGCTCAAAACTATTCTTTTTTAGGTAAAAGCTTCAGCACAAACTGGTTCCCCATATGTACCATAAATGCTATTTATCACAGGTTTTGGTCTTTAAAACAGAAAGATAATGTTAAAACATTTTCATTATCCTTTCCTTACAGCTATCATTCACAAACCATCTTTTATAATTATGGTACTAGGACATTTACATAACTGGGAAAAAGGTCCTTAAACTACATTTCTATTATGTTTGGCACTTGTGTGAAAGGATATTATATTCATGTGCATTAGAGATTGCTTATAAAAGATCAAGACAATAATAGCAGATCAGACGATAAAGGTTCCCTTTTCTCCTCCCAGACAGGCTGTCTCTGACAGAAGAATACAGTTCATCAAAAGTGTCTGCAGGTTGTCAAACTCAGTGAGATTTGGGGACACTCGGAGGCTGTCATGGCCAACAAGAAGATTTTCTGTAGGGTTCTGCCATCATTCACCCTCAGGAAATAATCACTCACTACATTCTGCATGCTCTCATGATAGAGCTCTATTTGAGAGAAAAGAGCCATTTTATCAAAGGACAATATATCCCTTCTCTTGGTCCATGCAGCTTCCATTATCAGACCATAATAAATCATATTTATGTTCTCAGTTAATAAGACTGATTACAATGCAGGTTACAGGCATGGGAAAAGCAAAGCAGGTGAAAAGATGTTTTAATGAAAATATGATAAGCAAACAGCTTCTTGTGAACATTTCAGGCTGTTATTTGTAATGATCACAGGCAATTTTTGATACATCTTCTTTAGCAATGGTTTAAGCTGCATAAATTGGCTTGCCACTTTATACGTTGAAATAGGAAGAATCCCAGTGTCCTTATGTTGTCTAGAATCATTATATACATTATAAGCATAAAATGAGTTTAATGTATGTGCTTTGAAAAGAAGGGGAAAACAGAAAATCAGGGAGGACTGATTTTAATGCTGCTCAAAATGATTTTGAAATTTTCTGTTCATCTTTGTTACTAACGGTGCATTTTCCATGAAATTTAGGAATGACATGTGGTGCTTTCATCTCCTTAAAATTAATATATTTCTCTTTCTGTTTTCCTCAATTTCTTCAAAGTTCTTTTTAGAACACTGTGCAAAGAGACAGAGAGAAAATTTTCCTCTCGATGAGTGAATATATCTGTTATTAATGCTGGGGGGGAGTTAAGTGTGTGCTTCTAGAGGAGAATATACCCCTGCATTAAATATTGAAATAAACAGTATTAAAGAGGTGCAAGGATATTTGGCTGCAGCACACCTGATGCATTCAAGGGCCAAATTCCTTAGAATCTTTTAAAGTGATTAAGATCTTTTCTGTTAAGAGTTCTCCAATGATTTCAGAGTATAACTGTACCTAAATAGCTGATGAAATGTCCTGCTCTTGTCTTTTGAAAAGCTTTCTTTTATGTTTTATTGTTTTCTTTTTTGTTGCTGTTGTAGTCATTTGGTTTATGTTGAGCATCATATTTTCAAGACAAAGTTAAAAATTTAAAGAATAATTTCCTCCTGCTAGCACGTAATGCTGACTAAGTATTTCAAAATCTACAGCACTTGCAGAATGCAAGCATTATGCTTATAATTTTTATAATGATTCTAGACAATATAAGAAGGACACTGGGATTCTTCCTATTTTGATATATAAAGTGGCGAGCAAATGCAGAAGTCTCCATGGTGTTGTGTGTCTGCAGGAAATGTTCTGATACTTCTGCAACTCTCTTAAACAAATGTTAAAGCTTTGTAATGGGCCTGGCAATGGAGAATGACCATGAAATTCCCTTAACCCTTATAGGGCACTTCAGCAGGAGAAGTGATCACACAAGAAACAATAAACTGCTCTTCAAAGGCAGTATCCTGATATGACAACAGACATAGATAATGCACTTCATGATGGAACTGCTTGATACGGGGAAAAACATGTTGTAACTGCCTTCAGTATGAAAGGGGTTTAAAAATGCTGCTTGCCAACTCCGCAAAAAACAGAGCTGCTATTTCAGTTAAAGGCCAGTGGATTGTATTTTTCATGTCAGTTTTCACTAACCTCAAACATCACTGTTATGACAGACTGTCATCCAACCAAACCAGCACTGTGATGCCATTCAGGCAAGAAGGAAGAAAGCAAACACAAAGGAAACTTAGAAGTCCGAATAGTGAGAGGGGGTGTCTGTGAGTGCACTTTTGTGCAGTGATACTGATTACTGAAAATGAAACACTTAAAAGAAAATAAACCCAAAAAAGTGCTTTCTGAGCCATTGGTGCTTTCTTGCCTGCCCATTTCTCTTTGTTCTGTTTCATGACATCAGCCTTAATGGTTGAAAGGATGTTCTGGGCCAGATGTCAATCACTATGTCTAACATAAACAAAAATAGCTAAAAAGACATGCCAGCATCTTCCTTTTGTTTTCCCATTAGCTCCATTTTTCTTTTCAGAGGCTGACAAAAAATTACTGCCTCCGAGTGAATTCAGTAATGTCACTATATATCTAATATCTAGGAGACCTTTTGTTTTAGCTTTACTGGGCTTAACCACAAAAGACACTTGACATTGACAAAGAGTCTGTCAAATACACAATGATCAGTGCAATGAAATCTCTCATGACAGAAGGGCACTATTCTGCACCCCCAGCCCGCAGCAGCCTGTCTGAGCAAAATGTGCCGGAGCACACGCAGCAGCTGAACCATTGCAGAGTAGGCCATAAGCTGAGATGTGTCTTGTTTAAAGTGTCATAGTATATTAGTGTAATTAAAACCGCCAAAAGAATAGAAAAGATAGATGGAAATGTTACATTACTTGTTTCTAGAGATTAACCTCCAGCCAGAACTGAAATACAGAGACACATTTTGCATGTCTTAGAGCTCTGATATGGAAGAAAACAAGCCTGAGAGTATGTCTCTTGAAGTGTGAGACATGAAGTCATAGTTCCTGTATTTACACAATAAAGCAGAAATAGCGTTTCAGACAGGCACGCTGTTTTCTCTCTGATTACAGCTCCCGTTGTGGCTGTACTCTGCAAAGCAGCTGTATCATCTCTCAGCTACTTCCCTTTTACTCTCTCTGCCTTCATGCTTGGAAGGTCTTGAGGACCCTTGGGCCCACGAATGTGCTGGTGTCAATGCTTTCTGCTCCCTTGGCATCTGCCAATGTTGTGTGGTTCTAGCCTGGAGGCAGAGCACCCTGTCCGCTCTGGTGGCTGCAGAAGCCAGAGCTCAGCTCCAGACTCAGCAACAGCCAGCTAGGAAGATGTTTGAAGAATCTGACCTTTGTATATACCAGGCTGCGTGCTTGCTTCTCTGTTGAGTCTATAGATAAAACTGCATGGCTTTCTGAAATGGACCCTGAAAATTATGTTCTTGGCACTGTATGTTTTCCTTCTTGTGCATCATTACTTGTGATAACTATTCAAGCCTAACTAGTTATCTAGATCTCTGTTTCTAACTAGATCTCTGTTTCTAACCGTGACACAAGTTATATCTGGTGGTGAGAAATTTTTGGAGTTTTTTATGGAGCTGTTCAGCTGTATAGGCTGAACCTTGGTTTATCTAGAATCTGGAGAGGACCTGATCTGGCTTCAGCAGTTCTGAAACACTACAAAAGCAGCATGGCTTTCTTCTGAAATTTTTTCATTTCATTTCTTAATGCAAGGAGAAGATGCATTAATCAGGTAGGTCTCATGTTCATTTCTTCCACTATAAATGAACTTCAAGGCCTTGCCCCATTAGTTGATCAGTTTGAATTTGAGAGATGTTAAATATAGGCCTTACATTTTAGGTTTCCTCATATGTCCTCTATTTCCCAGCTTTAAATATCAGTTAATGACTTCTCCATATAGCACTTCTCTTTAATTTCTAGTCAGAGGCTTTAAATGTGCACTGTTAGTCAAAAATATGTTATCTGCATTTAGTGGTGGCTTCTGGAGCCCTCACCATGAAGTTACCTCACAATCGCATCTCTCCTCACATGATTTTCTGAGTACTGCCAGGAGAAGAATGGAAAATAACTATGAAATAAAAGCAGATTCTGCTCCCAGTACAGGCAATGAAAACTCTTTTACTTCTACTTGCTCATAATAGTGGGGGGAAAAATGAAGTGGAAACAAGCACAACAAAACACCTCTGCCAGCTATCTTTAAGCTAACCAAGGCTTCCACTAATGAGGTGGTCTGGCATTTTGAGAAAGACAGGTTTTTTCCAGAAATGGAAAAAATATGCTATTTTTTTTCCTTTGACTCTGAGAGCATAGTGAGAGAGAAAGAAATCATATTTCAAAAAGCAAACTTTTAATGCTGTCTGTATTATTAAGTGCTTACAGACACCAGTATAGTTTCTTGTCAGTTATGTTTTTGCATATTTGTTTGTTAGATTACTAAGTACTTTCCTAAAAACTAGATATTTGCTGTATTTACAGATTCATCTCAGTGACTGTGAAATTCCTGAGGATGTTATCACTTTCAAGTCAGATTAACAGAGTAATTTCCAGGTAAGATATTCTAGAAGATAATTCAATACTTTGGACAATTGCATTGTCTATTAAACAGAACAGTACTGTTTGTGGAAACGATAATAATCTAGATCACAAGATAGCACCAGATTTTATGTTACGATGTCCAGACGTCTTAGGGAACTTAATGCACCCAGGATTGGTTCAAGTCTAATCTGCATGGCAGAAATGTGAGTTCCAATTTCCTTTTCCCTGAGACTGTGTGGGGAAACTGTCTTCCCAGGGACTACAGAGGACAGGCTGCCGTGGTTTGTTTGTGCTTTGGCAAGAGTATTCACCACAGCTGCTCCTGGAGTGCCCAGTGGTATCAAGCGCAGAAAAGAAAAGTTTTCACCTTTACTAAGACAGTGTGGTGTTCAGGCCTTTCTAATATATACCCATCAGAGCTGGCTGTATGTTTTCCTGAAGACCACAGATGTCCAGGAGGTTCTGATGAGTCACATCTGTCTCTGAGCTTGACACGGTGTTAGTTTCATTGCCTATTTTAGGTAAATGGTGGTACAGGTAGACAGTGATGGCTAATGATGCAATGATCTGTGAGTGCAATTGCTTTTTCATTTCAGCTTAGTTTGGCCAGAAAGTAAGAAAGGGCTCCCAAAGCAGGACAAGTGTCTTGACATGACACCACAACGCAAAAACGGATTACAGCTTCATGGAGATCTGTACAAAAATTGACAGCTGGGGACTTTGTGAGTTTCTGTCTGGAGTCAAAAATTCAGTGTAAGTGCACAAAAGAGTGTGAGGAGGGAGCATTTCAGCTCCTTCAACTCTGTGCACAAAACCTCTCAGGGCTTGAGATAGGATTTTAGTATTTCTCACAGTCTTCAAATGTTGTGCTGTGTTAGGATGTCCTTATACATAATTTTGTAATTGAAATGGCATGTTTACTGTTCCATTTCATGCTTGATTGTGTTTTTTAAACACCTTTACTCAAGCTGCTAGAAGTGGGATTATAATTAAAATGTCCTGTTGAACACCTTGTTCAGTTCAATGAAGGCATAATAGAAGTATAAATACTTGTTCTCATTGACTCTATGATGTCAGCACAACAAATGCAGTACATGTCAGGAAACTAATCTCTTTTTTACCAAGGCATCTGTAAAGAGGGAAGGGGAAACAGAATCTGTGGCTGGCCAAAGTGCAGACCTCTCTACAGGAGAATAGGAAAGTTTTTGAGATACCGTTAACCTTTTAGATACAGCAAACCTGAAGTTCCAAGAGGCTTTCTGAGTGTTGGCAGACATACTAAAGGAGTTAAAGGCAACAATATTATCCTTACATAAAGTCTTTTCTCTAAAGATTTCAAAGTATTTTCCAAGCATTAGTAAGTCAAGCTTTAATAAGCAGGTTCATGTTATTATAATACCTGTGGTATATATGTGTTAACTAGGGCACGGAATGTTTGAGTGATTAGCCAGTTACTGGCAAAAATTAGACAGGAATTTGCTTCTCTACTCACAGTCCCTTGGCCTAAACACTAGGCAGTACTTTCTACAGTAGCTATTAGGAAAAGCTGAGTTTGGTTGTAAGGTGTGAAAGAGTAATATACTTCTTACTATTTCTTCTTACACATTCTTTAAGATGTGTACAGTTATGCAGACTTCATGTCTTTGTGGTAGGATTGAATTACAACACAGAGTTCAAAATGTTTATAGTTCAAAGTCCAGTGGTTACAGCACTTTAGCATTGCAATAATGGTTTAATTTTCTTATACTCTCAGTTACCACCAGTGAAGAGATTCCTACCAATGCTGGCAGGCAATTGTTCAGTCTTATGGAGCTTCAAATAACTGTACAGCTTGAAAGTCTAAGTAGGAAAATTTCAATATTTAGTCTTATGTTTGATGCTTAGTTGGGCAATTTACTCAATACTTTGCCTAGTACTCTTCCTCTGCAAAGACAGGGAAAATAATGTCTGTGTTCATTGTGCTCTTCAACTGCTGCAATAGTGTTTTTAATATACTAGATACTGGGCTTTACACTGTACTTACACCATGAAACTTTATGTTCATGTCCTTTCACTGACTGAAAGAGGGCTCTCAGAACCAATCCCAAGATGTATAACATTTCTGTGCCAGAGCAGGACTCGCCAGTCAGTGGCTGCCTTACACGGAAATGTACATGAAGCAGGTAAATAAGCAGATCCAGAGAGTGTGCAAATTGCCTTTCTGTGCCCAGTTCCATCAACTGTAAGATCGACAGATGTCATGCAGGAAGGTGGTTCACAGGATTTCCTCTTAAGAAAAGCTGTGAGAAAGTAACAAAGTGGGAGGTTTTCCTTTTGGGACAGGGGAAGAAGGTGGTACATAGGACAGACCAACCCAGTGCTCAGAAAGATTCACTGGGATAAGTCTACTGAACATGCAAGACAAAATGTACAAGAATGTTTTTGTCAGATGGGATTGCTGCAAAACTTGGTGGATTTCTTTGAGCATCTCATTATAAGTACAGGTGCAGCTCTACACACCCACACGTGCTGTGTTTATTTTAGTGTGTGATCACATAAATACCTGCAGGTGTGAAACTGAAGAGATAGCCGTGCTGAGGCTTGAATATGGAGTTCCACATCTGTATTTACTGCCTTTTTCACACAATGAACTAGTGCAGTCTGTGGGTTCTCTTCCCACCTCCTACATGCACTTTATAAGTAATTTTGAAGGAAATTCAGTCCTGGTAAATACATTTAATGGATGGATGTCAAGGTATAGAATCAAAATACATGAAGGTGAGGGAGTACGGAACAGCCATCAGTTCAGTGTATTGCACATATATATAATTAGAAGAAGACTAATTTCAGATAAAGAAGGTCACGTCAGGTTAATATACAGTCATAAACCCATAAAATTGGAATTTAATATGCCTTTTGAGGCATCTAAAACTTGTGTTGGCCTTCAGTACAGCGGCTGGTTTCTCTGTTCTGGCACACACAGAGGTGTTTCCTTGTGTGTAATACTGTCACATAGTCTGTAATATGTGGGGTACAAATCATGGCTACTGCAAAAACCTTTGAATTCACTGATTCGTGTGGATGTAAAAATCTCAGTTGTGGTATTGCATTTATGCAGCTGTTGCATTAAGTATTCATCTGATGCTAACTATCTGGTTACTAAGGCCCTCCTCAGTGTCAAAAATAGAAAACAGCTAAAAGATATTAACTGGGAATGGTCTTTTGCATGTAATAGTTGCCTGCAGAGGCTTAATGTTCTGAAAGTTTCACACTTTTTGTAAGGCCTTCAGTGATAACTTCTGTTTTTCAAAGAGAAAAATAAACCTTCCAAAGTTCCTTTGAACATTTCCACAGCCTTTCATAGTGTTAGCTGTGAAAGTTACGGTGTCACGTTCTTAATAAGGAGGTATGGGAATGGTGTTTTAGTAGTCTCTGCTGCTTTCTTTGTGAAAACTATCTCAGGATGCTTTGGGATTCTTTGGCAGTAACTTCCTTTTGCCCCATGATTCCACAGGGATCTTCTCTGTTATTATATTCATTTGAAGATATTTTGGAGAAAACATGGAACTCGAGAGCATTCAGGAAAACCCTGTTTATGCCTCTGACTGGCTAAAGACAGGGAGTGAGTCTTTCTGTGACAGTAAATGTGGAAAAATCACATTGCTCAAAACTCAATTCAGCAAATTTTTTTTTAAATAGTACTGCAAAGAAAAGGAAAAAAATATAGGACAAATTTTTGTTTCTGATGTGAATGTCTCTGCCTTGTCCAGAGGAACCACAGCTACCATCTGTGACTCGTGATAGCGACTGTGCTTCTATGCAATGGAGAAAGGGACAGAAGCAGCTAGAGCAGTAGAAGAAATAACACTGTGTTAACAAAGACTTCAGTTGAGGCAAATTTACTTCCCTGAGAATTAGCCGGGGTATCTCTCCATGACACACTTACTTTAGAATCACAGCATGTTGCAGTTATTAGACTCTGGCAGGCTCCTAGGTAGGAACCGTGTCCAAGAGCCTTTATTTCATCTGCTCCAATTGAGAAGAGTGTGGCAGTTTCTTTTGGTTGAGCCTTGCTATAACGATCTGAGCTTTAGTCACCGTGAGGTTAGCACACTGCAAAGCATTCAGCTGGCGTTACAACCAGAGACAACTGAGCTCCAAAAGTGAGTGCAGACTGTGTCTATCTACTTATTAAGTGACGGGTCATGTGGAGTGCCCATTACCCAGTAATTGGTGCTAGCTGCCAGTTAGCATTCAGTGGGACTTGGCGCATTTGTATAGCCCTTACAGACCAGAGTGGCCTGGGATTGTTCTTGCCTTATTTGCTGCAATTGTAATCAGATGGTGGCTCTCTGCTTCGCAGATCTCCCAAACTCAAACTGAAGGGCACAGGGGAGTGTGGGATCTCCCTAAAGAGTTCAGCCAGAGGGATGCCTGGGTCTCAGGGCTCTGTGGTAAGGTGACCCCTCTGCTTTCCCTGGCTTGCAGGTTCCTTCCCTGCACCACAGGAGAGGGAAAGGATGGAATCTGTGGTAGGTGACACAGTGCCTACACAGCTCTAAGCAAGTCTTTAAAGATGAGACTCTTGAGTGTTTTCTGTCCTCGTGGAGCCCACAGGCAGCACTCAGATGCAGAGTTCAGACACAAAGATGGGGAAGTCTTTCCAGAAGGGACTGTGTAGGCAGACACACACACATATTACTGCGTAAGATACATGCTCTTGCAGCTTTGGTTTGGGGAACCCTTTTGTTCTCAGGCTGCCAACTGCGGGCACTGCTCTGAATTGCAGCAGGCTGTGAGGGAGCGAGGAGGAAAGTGCACGCCGTCCTGTGGGTCAGCACCGGGTGCGATGACCTCGTGCACACGGGAGCAGGATGGGGCTCTTTTCACACCATTACTTCCCGCAGTATTACGGTTCTTTTTTAGTTACAGAGCAGAGCGGCACTAGGCCCAGAGGTTAGCAAGGCGGTGATTGCGTGCATGCGAGCGGCGTGCTCTCTGCAGTCCCGCGGCCGCGGACCCCCGCTCTGCGCCGCGACGGCCCCGGCAGCCCTGTGCCGGGCGGCAGCGGGAGCGCTTCTCCGGGTTGCCCGGGAGGTGGCGCCCTTGATCGCAGAGTGAGGGGCGGGCGGGCGGGCCCGGGAAACACATCCGCCCCCCCTCTGTAATTTAGGAAGTATTATAGCCGAAGTGTTTTCAACTGATTATTATGCATGAGTAAAAATTCCATGAATGTGTAACATTTTCGCCTGTATTTCCCTCTTTTATAACATCATTTAAATTCCTCATTAATAATTTAGAAATGTTCTGGATTTTAATCACTTTTCTCATCACCGCCACCTCCGCGGCAGAGCGCTGCCCGTTACCTGAAGGTGACATGGAGGCAGCGCTGCCTCACAGGCACTGCCCGGCCCCGCTTCTGCCCAGCCCCGGGCCCGCGCTCCTTCCTTAGACAGACCAGTGTACAAACAACGAGGTCTGAGCAGGTCGCTGTTAATAAAAATTGCGAAAAAAATCAGGATTTTTTGCTGTTGCATCTGAGTTTAATTATGGTGGTATTTGTTTGATAGCTTGTTACTGTAAATAAAAGAGATAAAAGCAGCCCTTCACTCGAGTAGCTCTAGAGCTGTGAAATATGTACCTAATTAAAACTATTGGTGTAAGAGGCTAATAAAGTACATGTGCCTACTAGATGTCTTATTCTAATGAATCTCGGCTAATTTGCTTTGAGTGATGAATTTCGGTGTTAGTAGTAAGGGCTGAATAATGATGGAATTTATCACGAGGTGCGGGGACTGGTGGAGGACCGTGGGGGCTCAGCGAGAGGCAGGGAGAGCCGCTGGGTGCAGGGCTCCGGTGCTGCAGAGCAGCAGGGCTGAGCTCGGCCTCAGCCTGAAGGCTGCCAGCGCCCAGCCCAGGCCTCGGAGGGCTCCGAGTGGTGGCACAGGAGTGCTAGTGGGTGCCATCCTCCCATCCTCCCCTTTTTTTCTGCCGGCACTGGTGAGGAACGGGCTGTGGCATGCTTCTCCAGACTCCCAAACCAAGCGCAGATGGGTTATCTAAAGCATTTCAGATGGAGCTTTGGTCTTGTGCCAGCAGCTAATCAAAGTCTTAATTCTGGAAAAGACAAAGGCCAGGCTTTCCAAGCTTCCTCCCTCTGGTTTCTCACAGAGATGTGGCACTTCTCAAGCCCTTCTTGCCCTGTGCACTGTCTGCATCACTCAGGCTGTGGGGCTGTCTGTGGGCAGCAGGCAGCTTGCACCGGTCTAGTGGGTGATGTCCATGAACGTGCGGACCGACAAGGGGCTGCTTCATGTGGGCCTGCGGGCACCTTGTCCTGAGTACACCTCAACAAAGTCAGACAAGAGCGGTGTGCGTTGACAGCCCCGGCCCTGAGACTGCCATTGGACTTGTTCTCAGAAAGAGGGAAGCTGAGATAATAATAAAGGGGCTGGTTAAGCAGAGAAAAAGCCTGCAGAGTAGCACATATTTTTATTGCTTTTCTGCAGTACAGCAGAGAAAACATCCCAAGGCTAAATGTCTATTGTAGTCCCCAATGGTGAGTATTTAAACATTCACATGTGTGCACGTTCTTGCAGCTCCTTCCACTTGTGACACGGTGGGAGGGTGGTGGGGCTGCCATTCTGGCATGCCCAACTTTAAGCCAGGGCTGGTGCAAGTCTGCAGGGCTCCAACCTCATATCTCCTTGCAACATGTGCCATACAAGGGCTTTATTTATAACTAAGCAATCTGGTTCGTGCTGTCTACGCTGGAGTTAGTCCTGTTGAGTTGAAGTTACTTCTGAAAGTGTGTGATAGTTGCAGCTGTTGAAAGCACTCTGGCAATTTCTGATATGCACATGAGTTTGGGTGCTTTTTTTCCACAGTAGCTACATCTGCAGTTTTTCTACAGAATGAAATTTTTACTACAGCTAATACTAGCTGGATAGACAGGTGGAGCTTGTTATTTTTCTCACAAAACCTACCTTTTCAGAAGGAAGAGATTGTGTTTCATGGTTGTACAATCTAATAGTGTGGTTGATTGAGAGTAAGATTGAGGAGAACTAGACACTCGCTGTTTGACCTTAGGACATTCTCTTTGTCATTCCAGAAAGTTGGTTTCTCTGTCGGTAAAAACACAGTAATAGCTAAATCAAAGAAGTCAGTCATCAATATCCAGAAGTTGTGTCAGAATTTCAGTTGGAATTGTTGAATATTGTCACAGAAACGGAGTCTGTGGTGCTTTCTCAGAGATTTGCAAGAATTATTTTCTTCTACTGATAGAATTCTTTCCATGTTGCTCAATCAATGATCATTTTAATATATTTTTCTGCCTCTCAGTTACATCTCAAGTATTTATGTCCATCCAATTTTCATGGTCTCGCATCTTGTTTGCTTCTGTATAAAATGTGCGTTGTGAGCTTGAGGGAACACTTCCTTTCGACTTCTTTGTAATTACCAGAAATAGTTTTAACTTGTTAAAACATTCTGGCCATCAGCATGGTAAACCTCATTACTCCACAGCAGACCTTCCTGTGCATTGTGTTTACCTGCTGATAACATTTCTAATAAGAAGCCAAACACCAGTGAAATGAGGGTGGTGCTTGCACTGTTGGGTCGGGTGTGACTTTGCGTAATAAAAACATAAAAGAACAAATGACGCTCCTGTATAACTAAGACAGAGAGAAAGAAACACTATTAACTTGTTTCTGCTGGCTTTTCTTCTAGGAAAATAAAGCCTGTTTTCTGGACAGGCTTTGTTAACACTGTGATCTGATACAGGGCAGCAGGGATTCCTGTGCCTGTGCAGATGTTTTTTGATTTCAGAGTGATACCACCAAGAGACCACTGCATAGACGGCTACCCTGTTTTAGAGGACAGTATGCTAGGGTCCTCGCTGAGGCCTGGATGTTAGGTGCTCTGAACTAGAGTTACACATATTAAAAAAGCTTAAGAGCTAAACTGAGTTACTGTAACAAAGCCTGAGGCTGCAAGGAAGCTTTCCACCCAAAAAACATTTCCTAAATGTTGCTAGCAGATGGCTCTCCTATCCCACAGGCTGGGGATATGCTGACTTTTCACTCTCGGTATTACTTGTCCTCACATCACAGGACTTGGGATTTTTTGATTTTTTAATGAGCTCGATCTGATAAGCTGAGATAAACAGACTTTTAAAATAAATTTAAAATGTAAAGATAATTTATAATTCTGTTGTTGAGATTCACAGGCATGGTTAATGTAATTTCCTTTTTCCTTTGGCACTTAAGCAAAATCTGGCCTATATTTAATTCTTCTGTTGGTGGATAGGGAAGAGGCTAATCACAAGAGACCAGTAGTGCTATTTGAATGACACGTCCTGCAGTCTGTTTTTGAATGATCAGTTAATGTTTCAGCAGTATTATCTCTTTTTCTGTACCCTGCCTTTATTCACTAGCTTTATTCTACTTTTTTGCACTTTTACCTCACCCTTGTCAATGATGCCAGATACCTTGCAATAAGTAGTCCCATTTCAGAGATTCCCTGCTCACTGAACATCTGTCTGATGAAGTCTGTCTGCTTTCAGCATTTTGCTCAACTGGAGCAATGTTATGCTGCTGCCTAGATGAGTGTATGAAGTGAATTTGGACTGGTTCAGTGCAAGGGAGCTGTTTATGAATGAACTCAGTTCACAGATGCATGACATCCAAGAAAAGTGAGTGCAAGACTCACTCCCTCTGGGTCAATAATCTTTGGGACAAGGCAAAGAGGAGACAGAAATTGAGGAGATGCTGCTGTTTTGGCGTCTGTATTTCAGGTCAGAGTCCTGTCAGGTCAGCAGAAGTCATGCAATGTGAGCAGTGCCAAAACACAGTTGATGTTTGTGTATGAATATTTATCTTCATTTTTTACTCCATTTTGCATTCTGACAGGCATTACACACCTTCTTTGAAGACCTACCAGACAGAACCCCCAGAGGTCCTTTGTTTTGTAGTTCACCGAGCAGTGAGCCAAACAGTGGATCTGTGGGTGCTTTTGGGTCATCTTCGTCTTGGGGCTTTCTTCTGAGAGACCACCTCTGTTTAGACTGGAGTCCTTCTGAACTGTGGGAAAGAGCTCTTCCAGCTGCCGAGTGGTGACCCCAGACATCATCCTGAGGAGATGTCCCAGAGCATCTGTCTGGACTGTGAGGTTGCTTTCAGGCTGCTTTGAGTGATCATCAGGGGAGGGTATGGATGGTACTCGAATCCTGACCTACGTCTCACACTCTTGTTCTAGACCCTGGTGCAAGCTGCTAAGCCAGGCTGCCTTTCCCTCCTCCTTTTAACTCACGTGTTCTTTGGCATGCCTCCAAACTGAATGCAGTATGGAGGAGAAGGTCTGCAAGTTTCTGGAGCATATATACACATGTGGTCAGATCCCCATCTCGTTAAATTAGCATGTGGAGTGGAGACCAGCTACTGATTTATGTTTTCATCTGTGAAAGGTAAATTGGATTGAAACTGTTTAACACACTGTTTAAAAAGAGGAGCTGAGATTCTTGGTTACATTTGATTTCTAAATTAGAAAGCACATGACTATGTTTCATGGACCTGAAAGAACTGGGTCTGAGTTAATATCATGCCTATACCATTGATTTCACTTGAGCCTTTTGTATCAGAAACCACATGTACACAGAGACTCACATTGTGAAGCAAGATTAATTTAGCTTTTGGAATATTATGTGCTGTATAAGAATGTTCTGTGAATGACCTGGATTGCAAATTTTGCTTCTTAATATTTGCAGTGCAAAGCACTGGTGACATGAAATACTTAATGGTTTCAGCTGAACTTTGCAGAAATGAGAATGACAGGCACCCAAAATAAGATACATGGTGGAGAGCTAAGCAACGTAAGACCTACTGAGTTAGATATTTAAGCCTCAATCAAAATGATAATATAGATGTGAAAGTGGTTGCAAAGAATTTAGAGCTGCAGTCCTAGGAACAAAAAGAGATGGCCCCTCTCTTGCAGAAAGTTAATCTGTTATTACTCTCAGCTCTAATTATGGGGAGCACAACAGAGTGAGTTACCAGGAATATTTCCCTGTTATAGTTTAAGAGGTTATTTTAGTGTTTCAAAAATGTATCCACTTTTAGGGCCAAAACTCTTGGTTCTTCTCTTTGAATTGTTATAGCAATAGCTGAAATAGAGCAAGCTTCCTATGGTGAACCTACCTTAAAGAATAGGGCCACTTGAGTTAATAGAAGTAAATTAAATGTGTGCAAGCTCAGTTTTTGATGTGCTTCCTAGCAGTACCAATTCAACTCATCCAAGTTCCTAAAGGAACATGGAAATGAGGCTATTACCCGTAAGCGAAAGCCGCTATATATTGTCCTAGTGATCCCTTATGTGCAGTTGCACTTCAACATTACCCACTTTTATGTCAGTAAAAAATTGGACTACTTGGCAGTTGCAATTGCTGAGTTTATGAAGCTTAAGCAGCATAGATTACAGCTTTGTACTGGACAAGAGACAGTAAAACCATGGGTCTCCTCTGTTGTGGTTCTTGCTGGTTACCAACCAATATCTGCTATTTTTCCCAAGCACATAGATATGCTTCTGCAGAAATTATCCTTGCTCCAGTAACAGAGATAGTAAACATGTTCCTTACTCATAGTAATGAGATGCAGAAATACCAACTTTTCTTGAACTCAGTATTGCTGATAATAACTTTTACTCTTAGAAATTTGCATTCTTCCATGTGTCTGGATTGATTCCAGCCTTACATGTTCATGTGCTCTCCTAGACCAAACAAATTTCCTCCTCAGTGCCTCGCTGAAACACCACATTTTGCTGCCTGCTTGGTCCTTCCCCACAGAAGAGGCCAAACAAGCATTCCCTAAAGCACCACAAGTAAAGCCAGCCTGGTTAGCTCATATCCATGTTCATCACCAGGTGAAATGAATCTGGCTGACTTAGCTTAAAGCAGATTAGAAGGCAATTTGTGATCCCTCTCACTAATGGAGCAGTATGCTGGGTACCCAGATGGCAGCAGCAAGCACTGAAATAGGGCTATCGCCTCCCAGAAGAGCTTCCATGCAGCCTCAGGTTTTCTCACCACTCCCATCATTAAACACAGTTTCGCACCCCTGAACTTTCATGCTTTTTCTACATAACTTCATTTATTTTTACCTTAGTGGCCATAACTAAAGATATATTTTGACATTTTAAATGAGTCTTCTCTGTTCAGCCTGCTCTGCCTGTCTTTATTAATTAAACTTGTGTCTTCATATCAGATTTCTTGAGCTCATCTCTTTCCGTTTCAGCTCTTTGCTTTCCATTTGCCTTCATTATACCCTTCCATCCTTGAACTGCACTGAACTCTTGCTCCTTCCACATCTTCCTGTACAATACTCAGATCTGCTACATCTCTGCCTAATTTTATCATGGCTGATGCAAAATCTTAGCTGCAGAACCAGCAGTAAGGGGACAGACTTTTCTCTTTGCCACATTTGTTCTCAGTCTTCTATAAAATCTTGGCTGAAAATGAAGGACATTCTCTACTGTGACCATAACTCTGCACCCCTCCTTTCTCTGCTAGTCTTCCTTCTGGGATATGTTTTAATACATTATCATCCATGGTAACTGCACGGTTTGTATCTGCAGCTTTTCAATATGCTTGGAGTCAGGGTTTTCCAGGTGAATCATGTATTAAGATTTAATCTGAATCTAGTCAGATAGTATTGACCTGCGTTGAAAAAGCTGTATGAATGAGATAGTAGCAGACAGCTTGAAGTGCTGAGTGAAAAACAATACTCCAGAAGTTTGGTGGCAGAGAGCCTATGGGACATTTCTTACTGGAAAAACTTCTTTGATTATTTAAATATTTTGATCTATTTTTAAAACTTTCCCTGTCTGTTGAAGGTTTGCTGGACTTTGCCTGCTTTGGCAGTGTGCGCAGCACGGAGCTTGCAGGAGCTGCTCACTGCTTGGTAAGCTACCACATGTTGTTATCAACTTTAAGGCCTCCCTGTTTTGCTGGAGTAGACTTCCCCAAGATTGGAACAAAGAAGAACCGAGCCCAACACTTCAGCTTCCTGATGCACCTCTCTATGCCCTTTTCAGCTGTATTTCCCACTGTTCAGTGTTAGCAGTCATTAGGAAACATGTATTTTGTTTCCAAACTCAGAGTCTCCTGAAACAAATCCCTAGGCATTGTGGTATTGCTGCAGCTTGAAGCCTCATTGTGTTAAGACCACAAACAATGGGTTGGACCTTTCCCAAACAGCTTTTAGTCCAGGTCATGGATATGAGGGATAGACAAGGGATGCCATTTCCGCATTTATCTGGGTTGATTGGCTAAATGTGATGAATTATTTTAGCAAACATATTCCAAATCTCCCCCATTGCTTTTTCACAAGTTCCAAATTCGGACATTGTTGTCAGTGAAAAGGAACAATTCAAATGCCTTTCTGAATGCATTTGAAATGAAATAAGTTACTGTTATTTCACTGGCAGACCAGCTCTTTGGAGGGGGCAAAAGTTGCAGATGGAAAAACAAATAAACAAATGAGTGAGTAACTGTGGGAGGTGCTGCCAGAATCAGAAGCAAGTCCGGATAGAAGGGGGAGGGAAAGGCCCTTGTCTGCCCTGGGACAATTCGTAGAGAACAAAATGCAGGAGAGTTCAGCAGGAAATAAATTCACTTCTCTTCTTCTTTTCCTTTCTCTCTCTCTATTTAACCCAGACAACCATGTAACCATGCTACCAGAACTCCTGATACTACTCTTAAAGTGGACCTTTCTTTGAGAAAGAAAATGATTCCATCTTTTTTGATCAGGTTCTTCCTCTAGAGGAGTTCCTGCAGCTACAGGACCAGGAGGTAAGACCCTTGGTTTCAATTGTAGAGGGGAAGAATGAACGAGATTGCCAAATACACTAAGTTTGCAGTCAATGAGCTGAGAAAAGCATGACTGCAAGCTACCTTTCTGCTTTCCAAATCCTGGACTGGTGGAAAATCAAAACATTGTTTAGGTCAGCTTGCAGGCATAGAGTATACTTCACCTCCCATGAACTGGGGATGGAAAGTAAAGGAAGGACTGTTGCAGAGCTGCTGGTTCTCCTCTCTCCAAAGACTTCCTGCTGAGGAGAATCCTCAGTTGTCCATTTAGGGTAGTATTAGAGCTGAGCTGAACTGCTAAGGCATGCAAAGAAGCTGCAGATGGGACTGGGAGTACAGCTCCACACTTCTCTGTTGAGCCACCCAGTTACAGCAAATGCCTGATATAGGTGGGTACTGAGGCTGTTGGTAATGGCTAGAGGCAGAGAAATGGGTCTGGTTTTAATAAAAAGGTAGTTTACGAACAGCATTTTTCTTATTTTAATGATAAAATGGATATGAAACAGTTACACACCAGGCCCTTATTTTTCAGTGCTATTATTTTTTTAGAACATTGAAAACAAAATAAGCAGGAGGAAAAAAAAAGGGGGGAGGGGGGAAGAAAACTCCCTTCAGACAACAATCACCTTTTGAGTTAAATTCTCATGCTTGGTCTTAGCCCAGAGGGATTTGTCTTGAGTGAAGTTTGAAGAAAATCCTTTCAGCAGTTTTTGAGTTATTTAAATGTAACCATGGAGGTTTGGATTCACATGCTTTTTTGCACTTGTATAACTCAAAAATAGCTTTGCTTTAAAACTTCTAAATTAACCCTCCTTAACTTTTCAACTTGTCACCTATCCTGCTGTATGGCTTGTAAAATTTTAAAGGTAATAGTATAACAAACTCAAATAATGATACTGCAGATGTTCAAATGAATCTTGGGAGGAATAAATTATAGAACTCACAGAAGGTTGATTTTGAAGAAAGAGCAGCCGTGTGCTTTAAACCATGTGTTCTTGCTGGTTTGAAACAGGCCCGATCTTTTTCACTATTAACAAGCATAAGTGTGTTTGGGTGTGGACTTTAATACTTGGTTACACACATGAAATTGAGCGCCTAAGTCCTGTTCCTTTTTGTCTTCCTCACAGCAGACCTTCAGACTTGTCAGAAGTTTTACTGTTTTTTTTTTTTTAACATGATCCTGATCAACAGGACACTTCAATGCCTCCTAAGTATTATGGACTTCAGAGTCACTCAAATGCTTGGCGATTGTCTTACTGTTATTTTATTGCCAGAAGATCAAGGCAACTCCAGAAGTGACTTGGTCAGCCTTGTTTTTTCCCCTTTTTGTTTGTCCAGTCCTCGTGTTTCTTACGTTTCTTCTGTTTTGTCTTCTTTCCAATGTTTCTGCCTCACTTACTAGTCCTGTCCTCACTGCCTCCTATCTGTCTTTCGTACATCTGTCTCCATTTATTCTTCTCTAACAATTGTGCTAAAGAGAGCCCATGATAGAGAAAAATGATTTTTGCCTTGGCAGCAGCCTTTTCCTTTTATCTTTTCCCTAAATGCCTGGGATGGGTCCAAGCAGCTCTCCCCATGTTCATCATCCTCCGCATCCCTGGTGCCCTTGAGCTCCAGCCAGCAATTTGATGTCTGCCACAAGAGCACCCCCCGTTGAGCCACAATCAGGTGAAGGTGTTGCAATGCCTTGTGCTGCTTTCTTTGCTCGCCATGCTTGCTCAGCCTCTTTCTAGGAACTGGACACTCGCACCAGGCCTTTCCCACAGAATAATGGCAGATAGTACTGCTGCCTTTTGCACGTCTTGCCCCTGCACTCCTCTGCCTTTTTTTCTGTAATAGGCTTTTCTGGTACAGTCTGCTGGCTCGTGCCATTAAACTGAGAGACAAAAGACTTGTCTTCAGCTGTGCCGAGGGCAAGATGAGCTGGAATCCCTTGCCCCCCTGAGTCAGCACTGTACCGGAGAGATTATCAGCTGTTCTGCAGGGAGTGTGTCCTTGCAGTCCTGAGTGTGTGTGTCCCGAGTCCTTTCTTCATGTGGGAAAGCTTGGGCTAGTCTTGCCAGCTGCATAGTGGAAAAACATGTCTGTCAGGCCCTACCCTGAGAAATACAAAATATGGAAGTATTCACTAGAAAAGGGAAACAACCCCCAGAAACCAGGTTTTCTTGCCCTCAGTAATGCTCTGAGAGCAATTATTCCTTATAAACTGGACCAGCTCCAAGGGAATGGATCAGAGAGAGCCCCTATTCCAATGGATTCTTTCAGCCTGTTCTGGTCTCACTTGGCTGCTGAGAGTCAAATAATGGGAATGGGTAGTGAGGAAATATGTGGAGGCTGTACAGGAGGGAAGGGAAATGTGCTGCTGAACATACTCTGTTATCCATGTGAAAGGTCCATATCCTTAGCAGACACACACACCTGTTGCTACTGCCTCTGTGGCCATTCTGAACAGCAGTGACAATGAAAATGCAGTGGAGGGAAAAGACATCTGCTAAAAGACGGCAGCGAACTGGGGCACTATAAGGATGATTGCTTCTGAAGGTGAAAATATAACAAAAACAGACTGAAGAGTCTTAAAATGCAAAATCAATGCCAAAGAAAGGAAGCCAGAATGATTTCCAAGCTCGTCTACAGGCAGTTGTCCCACAGCACAAGCCAGACTCTGTCAAAAGGTGGGAGACATCCAGGAATTTTCTCTCGTACAAAATTATTGGGGATATGTTTTAACTCGAATGGAAAAACTGGACCTGTAGTGCTCAGCTCCAAGGGAAAATACTAGCCAGTGGAAGAGCTGTGGTACCATGGCTCGGTGTGTGTGTCTGTGTGGCTGCTCCCTTTTCTCTTATCTGTTCTATAGCTTCCTTCATTCTTCGCTTCTCTCATATTACAGAAAGAAGGTAATTTTTCCTGGCCATTTACTAAAGCTCATTAAAGACCGAAGAGAACAAACAATGCTACTCCTTAGAGACTACCATTCAAAGTCATTCTACAATTCTCTGTTCTCATACTTGAGACAAATTAATTATTCCTTAGTGAAAAGTATATAATTCCTATTCTTCATTTTTGGGGTGGGGAGTGGGAAATAATAATAGGAAGTTTATATCTGAGTCGAAAGCTGTCTGTGCTGAAGGGAAATGAGAAAAAATGCGTGTTCTGAGAAGAGTAAAAGCAATTATTCTAATAATAATTCTAGGGATATTAATGTCTTTTTAAAGTAGATTGCTTTCAAATAAACACCAAAGTTGAAGGGATAGGAAAGGCTGGTTTGTTTATTAATCATTCCAAAAGTGCATTTTTCTAAATGAACAAGTGCATGAGCAACTTCACTGGCACATATTAAATTTAGTTAAATGGCAACTTGTAAATGTCTAAAAACTTCTGTAACCAGAGACTAATTTGTTTAACGTGTTGAAAATGTTATGTGGATGTGAGGAACTACATATTAAACTTCAAAGCAAAATACTCCAGAGATTACACCATCTTAAAGACTGCATATTGGAAAGGCCTTTATACATTAAACATAAAGGATTTTTAATTCTCTTCTATTTTGAATACTTGTCAATCTGCGTGACTCATGCTCAGGACTGCAAACTGTCGTTTAAGGTGTGATGTCCAAGTTGAGGCCTGGACCACAGTTTGCAAGGGGCTGGCTTTTCTCTTTCATCTCTATTAATTAATCCTGTCTCAGTTTGCCCAGCGTACACTGCTGTTGACATCACCTTTTCCATATACTTTAAAGAGTCCCCCGAGAGATCTACTGCAGAACAAAAACTGGACAGAGAATACATTTGGAAACCATTTTATTTCTCAATTACCAACCAAAACGTATGGAAAAGATTTACACTCTATCTGATTTACACAATAATTATACTTTGAAAGCTTAGGAATAAATGGCTTGATCCACGGAATCATTAGTTACTATACCAAATGTAATTGGTGTAAACTAATGAGTTTACTGGATGGCTGACCCTTAATTACTGATTATAGTTATGCTAGCCAATCAAAAATGAGTTTACATATAAAAGTACAGTATAGTATTAACAAGCTTTACATTTCCAAGTAAGCAGCTTTATGATTAATTGTAGCACACAACTCAAGCTTGTTCAGGGCTATGAAAAGCAGCTTTTTAATAATAGTGCAGTAAGCAACCATCACTCTCTTACCTCAGCGTCTATCAGACAAACAGAAAGAAACCACATAATTAATCATCTCATGCACTAGAAATAAAGCGTCTGGGCCAGATCCAGCCGGGATGCACACAGCCGTAGTCAGAGGAGCTGCAGGAGGCTGAGGATTTGCTTTAGAACAGGATACCTGACATGGGGAATTCTGTCCCCCTGTAGTAACGATGTTAAATATTGATTGATTGTACACAGTCCTGTGTGATGTGGAGAAGCCCATCAACAGAGTTGGTCTAATAGCTCCTAGAATTGAGGAGGATTCCTTGAGCAGATTCTGTATGCGGTGAGAGGATACCCACTTACTCTACTAGCAACCCTCAACATGCAGAAATTCACAGCTCATCACTATTATTATGTCAAATGAAGAGTCAGCTTTTAAATAAACTAGTAAATGAGAAGAAAATCCTCATATTTGTTTCTGGCTGATCCTTAAGAGTTAATGTTTTTACTTAACCAGGAAAACTCAAAATTCTTATTAGAAAAAATTGAAAGCAGATTTGTATAAAAGAGCATGATTCCAGAGTTGCAACTTTAAATAGATACAACAAATATTTGGATAAAATCATAGGACTTTACAGTAGTCACATTCTTAGAGGCACTTAGGTAAGTAACGACAGTGTTTTAAGGATGTGGAAATTCTCCATCTCCTCTAACTTTCCTGTCAATCCTCAGTTTCAGATAGGAGACTGCTGCAGGGAGGCATGTGCATTAGCAAATGAAGTCTGATACATTGCAGCCATGGGGATCAAGTTGGAAGAGTGTGCATTCACTGGAGCTCTGTAACCCATGTGCTCTTCAGATGACCTCATACACCTCACAGTTGCCAGGACTCATCCTGTCTGGATTACAGGTTTCTCTCATTTCTGCTTCTCTCAGTGAAGTTGTCCTCAGTGCTCACCTCACGTAAACAACTAGGCTCAGTGGAGGACCATCCTCATCTGGTGGCTCTTTGGCACAAGTGCCATAACACTTGCTCATTTATTATTAAAAAAAATGTTAAAACTCAGAGGATGAAGAATGAATTAATCCTTGGAACATGTGCATATGGTTTAAAGAGAAATTCAACGCGTTTACTGAATTCCTGTTTTTCAGATGTCTGAGGTCAAGAAAAGGTTAAAGTTGTTCGCAAGCTCTGGCCTTAGAAGTTAATTCAGTGCTATGCTGCGAGAGCTACAGAGTGGGCCCTTGGAACAGTGAATTGCTGGTTTGATATCAAGGTCTGTGGGCTTTAATAATATAATTAGTTTGTTTTCTAAGGAAATCCTAGCAGGGATATTATGGTCATATAAAGTCATTATACTGTTTTACAACATAACTTTAATGATGTTTTGGAATGATCAGAGTCTCTGGGAAAGGATTCTATTTTTTATTACTTGTGGGATATCTTTAAACTGTCATAGCCACAACAGTGCTGCTTGGAATAGGTGCTCTACAGTTCCAAAGAAAAGACAAAAGATATTTAGAGGCCTGAGTTGGGTTGCTGGAGCATATCTGTCCATAGAAAGCCTGAAAGTTAAATTGTGTGGATTCCACACCCTTCTGACAAGCAGCTCCTGTTTTGTAGGAGGTGGACAGTTGGGGTAATCTAGGTATTTTATTGCATTACCACAAGAACAGATAGAGAGCCTAGGATGCTACAAGTTTTGCTTTTCATAGTTCTCTGTCAGAATTCAGGAGTGAGCAGTTTTAAAAGTATTAGAAAAGGAAGAGGGCATATTTTCCAGAACTTTGGTATCCTGCGAACTCAAAGACAGAAGAAAAATTAAACTAGTCAAACTAAAAAACTAGTTCTGCTGCCATTTCTGCTCTGCTAATTCTGAGGCAACACTGTTTGCTGGAGGAGAAGAGAGACAAAGAACCATTAATTTGGGATGAGGGGAGCATGCTACAGAGAGGTTTCCCTGTGGTGCAGAGTGGCTTCTGGATGTGCTGAGGGACGGGTCTGTTAGGGCCTCATTTTCTTCCTCCTCTGTAAACTATGTCTAACAGCTTCAATGAGAGAAAGCATCAAGCCCCATCGTGTTCATAGAAATACAACATATTTTAAAGCTGTAGTTAATGGATAAGCTGCTTTCTGATTGGGTGAGCTGCACAATAAATCTCTGCATGAGCCAAGTGCAATGCAGCTTGTTCAGGAACAGTGAAATGAGCCACTGTCACTTTGCTGCACTCTCATACATCAGGCAAAACGCTTCCATCTTCATCAGTCTTTTAGTAAAACAGAAATAAAACAATCGTAACAGAATGGTGTCACTGGATCCGTGGCACCTGCTTTAAAAATAAATCTCTGAGCTTTGTCTTTGCTATTATTTTCAATAAATGTCCTAGCATTGCCACAGCATTTATCTAGCAGCAGGAAACCATTATCCTATGACAACAATCTATTCCATTAACATTAGCTCTTAATTGTAAGATTGTTTATAAGACAGCAAAAGCTACTGAATTATACTAGAATGATAAAAAGAGTTATGGTCATGGAGTATAGCAGTCACTCCAGTTCTGAAAAACAACTTTAGAAAAGTAGAGAGCTATATTTTCATATGAAAAATAATGTAATATTTGTATGCGAGAAAATGTTTTTAAATAATGTATTACATCAGCAACATAACTCTTAAAGAGTTAATGTTAAAAATTGTTACTGAGAAGCTTTTGCTTTGATAAATAGCGTAAGAAAAAAGCTGAATAGAAAGCTCAGAAACTTGCATAGTTCTTCCTGAAAGGCTGTACTGAGTCAAACAGAGAATCATAGTAACAGAAGCACATTTGTCTGGCGGAGTCAACAGAAGGAATGTTGCAAAATTGAGATATGAGGAACCTGACTGCAGAAAAGAAGAACTGTCATTCTGATTGTTTGTCATTATTGTTTCATGTCCAGTTAAGTGAACTTCGAGTGACAGTTGTGCAATAACTACTGGCATCTATGTAAATTTCAAATCAAATGCAATAGAGGCAGTTCTGCCAGACACAAGTCTCCAGACTGCTTTTCCTCTTTACTTTGGTAACCCTCAATTTTCTTATACTATGCTGTTAGCCCTTAAATTAAAAAGACAACTTCAACAAGAGATCCCTTTAATGTGTGCTTTTCAGATCTCATTCCGTACCTTATTTTTCCCTCAGCTCTTCAAAACAATAGCTGATGTCAACATTTCTATCAGAAACAATCACCATAAACATTTAGATATATTAGCAGAAAGTGCTCCTTCCCATCGATCACATACATCAAAATCCTTGGAAACTTTTAAGTTGTGGACTTCCCCTGAAGACCTATAGAGAAAATGGCTCAAGTGAACACTCCTCCGTTCCTTCAGTGGAGCCCGAGTCAGTTGTGACGAGCATCTGCTCTGTGGGTAGGTGCAAAACACAGGGCGAAAATATCAGCTGTGGATCCCTTCTGTAAATAATAGCCTCGTCCAGAGGTTATGGGGCCTTCACAAGGACACCAGTCGCACCCCTCCATGGCACTGTGTTGCAGTAAGTAACTCGCTTCCTGGATGCACTTGTAACAGGCAGGTATTCTAACGACACAGGATATGCAGATGTGTCCAGGTCTTTAAAGTCTTCCAATGCAATTATTAAAATATTACGTGCAGATAACGCCACCAAAAACATTGAGCATGCTGTTCATTCAATTGAGCATGAAACAACTTCCTCCTGAATATTTTAAACGTACTTGACTAATTAATTAAACAATTAATAAGGGCGAGAGTTAAATTTCTATTTTTCATTGTAACATTGTTTCAGAGCATTGTTTTAACTAAATTCTGCTAGGACTTTTTTTGGAAACCACACCAAAGTGCAGCTATGATGTTAAACAAAAATGTTCCTTTGACAAATGAAATCTTAAAAATGGCTACAAGAAAGGAAAAAGTCAGCTTTGAGTGGAAAACATTTAATATGTTTTGATGATTTCTTATCTCAGACAGAAGAGAAGACAAGTTGATCTTCTCTGCTGAAACTTTTTGAAGTGAGTTCTGACTGAAAAGATGTGGTGTTTCAACAAAAACAAATTGTTATAAAACATGATGTATGCTCAGAAGCATTAATGTGTACCTCTCTGCTCCAGGTTTGAACATTTCTGTCCATTGAACTAGCCTGTTTCATTTATTTTTTAAATCCTTATCCAGTTGATCTTTTTTTGTTCTTCTATAAGTTTACAGTAGTTCAATGGCTGCTTTTATCTGTGATTTGGGCTTTCAAACAGCACCAAACTCTGCTGTCCCATCCTGTAATCTGTCCTTTTGTTATGGCGACTAGTGAACAGAGGCAACATGTTAGTGCAAGCACTATAAAAATATCTGTGAAGAAAACATTCTTCCACTCTAAAGGTTAAGTTCCATAAGAATATATATTCTTAAGTATTTGCACAATACTTAAATATGGTATGGATTTTTCTTTTTAAAGGTGGTAATATCCTAATCATAAATGTCTTCTTGTTTATATGTATCATTTTACAGATTTGTAATCACAGAAATCAATTGCTAGAATCCATTTAAGAAAATCAAAATAATTTAACTGATTTACTTAAAAAAATGCCTTGTTAGACCACGGAATTTAAAGTCCTCTTTCAAAATTAAGGATGTTTTATGTAGCAAACTTATCATTACACATTACATTCTAGTGGCACGTAAAGACTTCTGATTTAAAACATGAATTCTGTGTAGGTTCAAACTGATGTCTTTGACTTCAGTTCCAGAACTCAATTTCAGGACTTCTGCTGCTGGTGGCTCATGGCAGTATATTAGTTCTTCCAATAGGGATGTGCTCAGGACAAATTAGTGAACGTAATTTTAGCTGTATGAGGTCATTACAAATACAGTCTTAGCTCTTCCTAGAGTGGACTTCATTGTTAATATAAATATATATCTATAGTTACTGACATTTATATTATTTGGCTCCTGTCCTAAGTTATGGATACAGTGATGATAAAAGCCCTTACCTAAGTGAGTCATGCTTACTAATTACTTCCATGGTACTGGGTTCCTGTAAATAAAGTTGCTCATGTATTTATAAGCAAGTCAAAATTTATACATACGTTTCTAAGAGAGAGTTATCTTTCTCTCTGGGGCAAACAGCACAGTCTGCTGTTTGGAAAAGAATGCTGAGAGTAAGGACATCCAGGGTGCTTCCTTGCTTCTGCGAGGGTGTGTGCTATCCCCTCTTGTTGGATATCCAAGTAAAATACTGAATTTGGTCACATTTTTAAATTAAGACCCTTCTGCATTATTTCAAGGTAGGAAATGGCTGTTGATTTTTCCTGGCTGTTTCCAAAGAGGCTGGGGTAAGAGAGTCTCGGTCTAATTGTTTGTTCTAAAGATGTAGCTTTCAAGACACAAAGCCTAGCAGTGTGACGTGGAAGATCTCAAGACAAAGCAGCAGCCTCAACATTTCTCTCTAATGAGAACAGGAAAAGACAATTGAGATCCCGTAGGAATGCAGTACGTTTAGGAGAGAAGCAGAGCTCCCTTCACGAATGGTGAGAGAACCCTGGTGAATGCTGGACTACCTGCTGTCTCTGGGTGTGACTAGGTGAGTGAAGGATTTGGATCACAGCCACAGTAACGTTTTCCAGACATTTAGATTGCAACTACTACGCCAGCAATTTTATGCCTTCCTTTCTCTGACTCCAACAGTACGCAAGATAAGCAGCCAGATTTTCTTCTGCATTGTGTTTTTTATCCATTCAGCCAAAATTAACAGTCTTCAAGGATAATGTATGCCAAGTGAATTTAAATCTTGCGGACTCAAATCGACCTAAAGTTGATGGATACATTCATGCCTACTGCTGAAATCTACCAATTACACAGAACTATGCTAACTTACCATAGAAACATCTCATCTAATAGCACAGATGATGTTGAACTAACTAATTACATTATGGCACATAGACAATGAAAAACATAACGAAGATGACAGCACAGCAACAACAGATGCTGCACAAAAGAAAAATTAGAAAAATATTGCTCTGCAAAATGCTGTCTGTTAAGGTTTCTTCTGTTAAAATTAATCACAAAAATTAGTGAAGATTAGATTTCAGCAGCAGATATGAGCATTGTAATGCTATTTGGAAAACGTCATTAAACCATTTAAAGTCCTGCTCCTTCAGAAGGTAATTCCCATTTTTCGTATCACTATCAGTTTTAAGATGAGTAAACAGTTTAGTGCCGATGGCAGTTTCTTGGGAGAATATCTTTCCCAGTGAGGAGAGGTCCCGATGGCTCCTCCAGTGCTGTGTTTGGTAGCTTCCAGCCATTAGAACTTAGATAATTAGGCAACTCAGATTTTATTTTAGCTTGGCATTTGCTCCGGTCTGTGCTCTTGGCTGTCAGTGACAGTTGATTATCTGTAGCGTGCCTTGTTACTTGATATATTTTAAACTGTAACAGATCCTAAATTCCAAATCTGAAACTGCTGAGTATGTTTAAATGTAATATATACACAGGGATTACATCCAGATGATACACTTCATAGACCTGTGATAAAAAAAAAAAGCATCACTTCTAGCCACTACGCTGGTCCTCAGCCCCTGCCCCCCTCCCCCCAGTAGCTTTCCATGAGCTCCCGGCTGCTTCAGCACCAATCCTGAGTGTAATCTAGTTGATGGAGAGAGACAGAAATGGGCTTTTCCCCTAAATATATATTTCCTCTAGAAATGCTTCTGATGCTATTCAAGTTTCAATACGTTATTGGCTTTATAAGAAAGCAAAACATCTATTTGATATCCTGTTTCTCCCAATTTCTTTATTTTTTAGAGAGACACTTTTTTTCTCTTCAGATGCGCGATTCCCGGGCGCGCAGCTGCTCGTCCGGCGGCGGCCGGGGTGCAGGCACGGCGGAGGCCCACAGGTGGCGGTGTGGTTCAAGCGCACCTGGGCTGTGATTGCAGAGCCGCGCGGCTGGCCGGCCTGTCGGGAAAGGTGCTCCGCTTCTGCCCTCTGCGCGTCCGTCTGCAGGGGAAGAACCGCGGCTGAAGTTCCGCGCGCTTGAGCGGCGCGCCCCAGCCTTCAGCAGGGACGGAAGCGTTCTGTCGATCCCGCAACAGCTGCCGCACACCAAGATGCCTCTGGGTCACCCGGTGGGCGCCGGGTACGGCGCTGGCGGAGCCCCGCGTGCTGCCGCCAGCCGCCTACAGCAGGGTCAGCCCTCCCACCGCACCCCGCTGTCCTGCCTGGCAGCGGGAACCGGCCCTGTGAAGTTCGGTTCTTTCGCAGCTGTGCGGAATCTCGGCCCCGCGCTGCGCACAGCTGTGCGCTGTGTGTGACGGACGCCTGCACGCGCTCTGCACGTCGGTGCCACGCAGGAGGCTGCTGGTATCCGCACCCGGCCGCGTGTGCCGAGCGCGCCGGGGTAGCGCCTCGTGCTTAAGGGTACTTCGAGCGTTTTTGAGGGGCTTTTTCACCCGGATACGCTCACACTTGTCTTGCGCGGCACACTTAGGCCTCAGAAAGCGTGCCGTTAGCGCGAATTTGTTCCACTTCTCAGAGTCTCTACCGCGCGTTACTTCTGATCCACCGCCACCCCCGGGGCTTCCCTCTCAGAAACCTGTCTTCTCAAGCATCCGCCCGCGCACCCGGCGCCGTCCGCAGCACCGTGACCCTCGCAGGGCACTGCTATAGCGGCGGGCCGTACCCCGGCGCCGAGTACCAGCCGCTGGTTTGGGGCTGGGGGGGGTCTGCCCGGCAGACACTCGCACGTCCCCCGCAGCCCCCGACCCGGCGCGAGAGAGGGCCGCAGGCAGCGCGAGGCGCCGTGCCCAGAGGGCGCCACGAGGGCCGGTGCCGCAGCGCTCAGCCGCGTGCCGCCGCTGCGGGCGGGCCGCTCGGGGCGGGAGCCGCCAACTTTCTCAACTGGTGGCCGCGAGCGGAGCGGGGCGCGGTGCCGCGACTGCCGCCAGCAGCGCGGTGCTCTCACGGCCGCGGGCGCCGCTGCTCAGCGCCGGGCGGGGGCGGCGGGCGCCGCTTCCCACCTGACTCCCTCCTTCCCCTCCATTCCCCTCCTCCTCTCTGCCCCCCCTTCTCCCTCGCTCTCTCTTTTTTTTTTTTTTTTTTTTTTTTTCCCTGCTCTTTCACTCATTCCTTTGTCTTCCCCGGGATTGGCAGGTTTTATTATTCCGCCTGAACAAGCCGGGGGCGGATTGGCTGCGGCGGGCGGGCGGCGGGGCCGGGCCGGAGTGTAGTTGGGATTCTGCTCTGTCAGTAACACATGTGTGAGTGAGGGGCAGCGGCCGCGCAGCACGCGGGCCCGCTCGCGCCGCGCAGGGACACGCGCGCCCCCGGGCCCGCTTCGCTCTCCGCGCCGCCGCCACCGCCTCCGCCCCGCTCTCCGGTCCTCCGCTCGCAGCGCTCGGCGGGCCGCGGCAGCTCGGCTCCGCGCCGCGGGAGCTCGGCCGCCGCCGGAGCCCGGCGGAGAGGCGGAGGTGGGGGCGGGGGGAGCGGCGCGAAGTGCAGCCGCGGCGCCAAACTTGCGGCGGCGGCCCCTGCGCGTGCGGCTCCGCGGGGCCGGAGGGCGGCGGGCGCCCCTCAGCGCCGTCTCCGCGTTTCTCCGGCCCGGACCGGGGGCCGCCGAAGGGCGGGCGGGCGGCGGGCGCCGCGCTCGGTTCGCGGCGAGGAAACCGCGGTGCCCCCGAGCGGCGCTGCCCGGCCCCGCGCACCACCGAGGGGAAGCAGCAGGTAAGCGGTCCCGCGCTGCCGCAGGGCCCGGCGGGCGGGAGGGAGGGCGCGCGGGCGGGCGGGGGGGAACCGGCCCCGGCGTCGTCGCCGTCCCCGCGTACAAAGCGCGGCCGCCGCCGCCCCGCGCCCGCGGCGGGGAAGGGCTGGGAGGGAGCGGGAGGGGCTGGGGAAGGGCTCCGGCGGCCTCGGGCGGAGGGGCCGGGAGGGCTCGGGCGGCTCGGGCCCCGTGTCCCCGTAGTAAACACCACTCCGAAACAGCGGCAGGAGAGATCAAAGTGCGCCGCCGCCTCCTCGGCAGTCCCCTTCCTGCCCCCCGCACGGCCTTTTGTTTCGATCCGGGAGAAATCCGGTGAATCACCTAATTAAAACCGAGACGTGAATTAAGCATCCATTTTCGTCCTACAAATTGCCAGCTCCCCGCGCGTCCCTCCCTCGGTCTCCATTAAAAAAGCGCCGGGGGGGCCGCCCGCTTCCCCGCCCGCAGACGGGACCGCGCTCCGGCCGTGTAATTACCGGAGTGCGCCTATTTAAGTTAAAAGCTTTTCCCCCCCGACTCCAAATGAAACTTGATGAGGGCCCGTCCTTAGTTATCAGGGGAGTCACTTTCTGGTCAGTCCTCTTGATTCATCTTTTTAGATTTAATCAGCATTAGGGTATTGCTTGTCCTTAAGAGCTTTAGCTTAATGGGGTTACTGGATGCCGTTCTCGGCGCGGCGTTTCCCATTTGATAGATATTCGCCTCCGACAAAGCCGGGCTGAGGTGGCACCGAGGCCGGTTCTTTCTTTTAAGAAACCCGAAGTGATTTAAGGCGCGAGAGACGGCGTGAGGGCTCGGAGCAGGAAATGCAGATTCATTTGGGCTGTAGCTGGAAACTGTAACAAAAGGCAATTCCCGAGCAAATGCATCAGAAATCAATTTACATAAAGGTATATGATGCGTTCGGATAAATGCGATGCTAATGGCTTTTAGAGTGGTTTTCTTTCCAAAGTCTCGGGGTTTTGTTACAGCTTAATTGGTGCAGTTCTCCGCTTTATTGTGCGGTCGCTGCGCGCACCTCCGGGGCCGGGCCGGGGGCAGAGCAGGGTGCGGGCACTGCCCGGGCCGCTGCGGGGACAAAGGCTGCGGGGCGGGCGGCTCGGCTCTCGGAGCGGGCAGCGCCGGCAGCTCGTTGGGCTCCGCGCTGAAGGCAGCGAACTAATCGGGTTAGAGTAAGCTTTATGAATTGATTCCTCTGCCATCTCCCAGTTGTCCTTCTTGCGCTAAGCGGTCGTTAGAAAGTGGGGAATGCCCTTCGGTGGCAGTCCTGCGGGCGGCCCGCCCGGGGGGCACTGCACTGCTCCCCTGCGCTCGGGAAACTTTTTTTTTCCCTCAGAGTAACAGGGCTTTAGCGTTAAACTGCTGATCGAGGGCAGATGAGGGAGACAGAAGTTGAGTCTGTTTGGGCAGGAGGGAAGGTAGCAGGCGGCCCGAAGTTCAGCGATCCGGTCTTGGGGCAGCGTCCTCAGTCCGCAGTGCTTTCTCCGGGCGCTTTCGTGTCTCCGAACCAAAAACGCCCGACTGCGGCAGCCCCCGGCCCCTGCCTGCCAGGCCCGGGGACTGCCTGCACTGACAAACCAGTTCCGCAACTTTCTTTTTCCCCACTCCTCGCGCACTTCTTTCTCCCCCCACAAGCCAAACGCAGCCGGGGCTGCTCCTTCCTCGCTGGGAGTGCCGCCGGCGGGCCGGCCTACGAGCACTGCGGACGCTCCCCGGCCCGAGCCGCCCCTGACCCGCGCCGCTCTCCCGCAGGCCATGGTGAACCCCGGCGGCAGCGCGCAGCCGCCCCCGGTGACGGCGGGCTCCCTCTCGTGGAAGAGGTGCGCCGGCTGCGGGGGGAAGATCGCCGACCGCTTCCTGCTCTACGCTATGGACAGCTACTGGCACAGCCGCTGCCTCAAGTGCTCCTGCTGCCAGGCCCAGCTGGGGGACATCGGCACGTCCTGCTACACCAAGAGCGGCATGATCCTCTGCAGAAACGACTACATCAGGTGAGCCGCCCGCGGGCACGGCTCGGCCCGGGTGGGGAAGGGAGCCGGGACTTTGTGGTGGTTCATCAGCAGGGAGCGGGTCCTGACTAAAAATAAACAGCAATCAGAGAGCTAAATTAATCTGCTTTGTTGTAGTGCTGAAGGAGAAGCGTGCGTATCTGAACGGTAAATGTTAAAATCGTAGGGCTTAAATAAGGCAGCTGCGGAGGTGCTTCGTAATGAAACGCCTGCCTCTAGTATCTGATTAATTATGATATTTACATAAGCACCTTTAAACTCCTCCGAGTGGAAACAGAGTGAGTCATTCTCCCTTCTCCTGGCGAAGGAGCCGACCGCCGCTCTGGGCTCTGCGCGCAGCCTCTGCGGAGCGGCTCCCAACTTCCAGCACCGAAAATGCGGGTGGTGGGAGAGCAGGGCTGCGCTCCCAATCCCCCTCCTTACCGCTTTCTTTTCCGAAGCTGTTCACTTTAAGTGCTGCAGAGTTGGGAAGGGGGAACTAAGCCTTGTTAATCCCGCATCTGTTGGGGTACGGGGAGGTTGGCCCTTCCAACGGGTTTCCAATATAATTAATAGAAGGAATTCATGAGGTCAGGTGCCCGTACGATCTTTTCAGGTGAACTCGAGCTACTTAAACTCATTAATTTAAAAGGAGGCATTTTGAAGGATTACACATTTAATTTGAGTAAATGGCTCGATAGACTGATGCACATGAATGCTTTAAGGAGGTGTTCTATTTCAACATTCAGTAATTAAAAAAAACAACAAAAAAGCCCCATACCATCCTGGTGTAGCAGGAACGCTTGGCTAAAACAAATCGTGTTTTGTTTAAGGGTTTCTGGCTTCTCATTTACAGTAAATGTCAGGAGTTAACTGTTTTTCTTTTCCCTTATGGCTGAAAAGTTCCACTTTTTTTTTTTTCTTCCTTTCTGCAAATGTGCCCAGCCAGAAAACCCTGCAAGTTTGTTTATGCTGTAGAACCTGACCGCTGTTGGAAGCTGAGCGTGTGTGTGGAGGCACCTTGGTGGGACGGGATGGGGCCACAGCAGGGCTGTGCTGTCTGTGTTCCATCCTGCTGTCTGTCCCCATCCCACTGCACGGCCCTGTCCTGCTGTCTGGCCTTGCCATCCGCTGCCCATGGGGCAGGGCTGCAGCACTGTGTCTTTGAGCAATGGGAGCCTTCGCTTCTAGTGGTGTTGTGAGAGGGAAATGCTCCGCCATCACGGAGGCACACGGAGGCGTTCAGTGGTTCTCTTTTTGGTCATCATCCTAAGCAGCAAGCTGAAGCCCAGCAGAATGGTAATTAAATAGAGTAGAATGGTGCTGGGAAGGAGCCTCATTTGAAGTGGAGGAATTGACACCGCTGTTGGGCTGCGAAGTGGTACAGATCCATCACTCAGCAGCACCATCAAACAAACCTGTGTCTGATTACTCCTAATTAAAGGGAGAAGATGTGTCCACCGTGTCCCAGAGGCAAGTTCAGGCAGGCTTATCGCAGCCCCCCGGTTTCGCGTTGCCAAAAATTAATACTCGTTTATTTTAACGTAGGCGGTTGTAAATAGGATGCTTTATCAGATGAGGGATTTGAATTGATCTCCTCCTTGTATCGCCTTCCCTTAGATCCGTGCCATCTGCCTGCGAACACGCCTGAGCACACGCTTGCTGGAACTCGACCGGGCCGTGCGTGCCCGGGGCGGGGCAGGGCCGGCGGCGCCCCCCCGTAGCCCTCCCGCGGGGTGCGGCCCCAGGCCGGGGCACGGCGCTGCTCCCCGGGGCCGGTTCCGCCCGCCGCGTCCCGTGGCAGCCGTGCCGGGCGGGAGCCGCGGTCGCGAGGGCGCTGTGCGGGCTGGAGAGGGGCCGCCGCGCCGCCGTGCGGAAGGGGCTCGGGGCGCGCCTGGCTCCCGGTGCCGTCCCTGCGCCCGGCGCTCCCCTCCCCGCCGCAACGCCGGGGGCGGTGCGGCCCCGCGGAGGGCCCCGGGCGCTAGGGAAGGAGCGGGGGCGGCTCTCCCGGCCCGAGATGGCAGATAGAGCGGCGG